GATCTTGCCTAGTCCAGAAGCTTGCCTGGTCCAGGAGCGTGCCAGGTCCAGGAGCTTGCCTGGTCCAGGAGCTTGCCTGGTCCAGGAGCGTGCCTGGTCCAGGAGCGTGCCTGGTCCAGGAGCTTGCCTGGTCCAGGAGCTTGCCTGGTCCTGGAGCTTGCCTAATCCAGGAGCTTACCTGGTCCAGGAGCGTGCCTGGTCCACGAGCCTGCCTGGTCCAAGAGCTTGCCTGGTCTAAGAGCTTGCTTGGTCCAGGAGCTTGCCCGTTCCAGGAGCGTGCCTGGTCCAAGAGCTTGCTATGTCCAAGAGCGTGCTTGGTCCCGGAGCTTGCCTGGTCCAGGAGCTTGCCTGGTCTAGGAGCATGCGTGGTCCAAGAGCTTGCCTGGTCCAGGAGCTTGCATGGTCCACGAGCTTGCATGTTCTTGAAGCTTGCCTGGTCCAGGAGCTTGCCTGGTCCAAGAGCTTGCCTGGTCCAGGAGTGTGCCTGCTCCAAGAGCTTGCCTGGTCTAGAAGCTTGCCTGTTCTAAGAGCTTGCCTCGTCCAGGAGCTTTCCAGGTTCAAGAGCTTACCTTGTCCAGGAGCATGCCTGGTCCAGGAGCTTTCCTGGTCTAGGAGCTTGCTTGGTCCTTGAGCTTGCCTGGTCCAAGAGCTTGCCTAGTCCAAGAGATCGCCTAGTCCAGGAGCTTGTTTGGTCCAGGAGCTTGCCTGGTCCAAGAGCTTGCCTGGTCCCAAGATTTCCTCGTCCAAGAGCTTGCCTGGTCCAGGAGCTTGCCTGGTCCAGGAGCGTGCCTGGTCAAGGAGCTTGCCTGGTCCAGGAGCTTGCCTTGTCCATGAGCTTGCCTGGTCCAGGAGCGTGCCTGGTCCACGAGCTTGCCTGGTCCAAGAGCTTGCCTGGTCCAAGAGCGTGCCTGGTCCGCGAGCATGCCTGGCCCAGGAGCTTGCCTGGTCCAGGAGCTTGCCTGGTCCAGGAGCTTGCCTGGTCCAGGAGCTTACGTGGTCCAGGAGCTTGCTTGGTCCATGAGCTTGCCTCGTCCAGGAGCTTACCTGGTCCAGGAGCGTGCCTGGTCCACGAGCCTGCCTGGTCCAAGAGCTTGCCTGGTCTAAGAGCTTGCCTGGTCCAGGAGCTTGCCCGTTCCAGGAGCGTGCCTGGTCCAAGAGCTTGCTATGTCCAAGAGCGTGCTTGGTCCCGGAGCTTGCCTGGTCCAGGAGCTTGCCTGGTCCAAGAGCTTGCCTGGTCCAGGAGTGTGCCTGCTCCAAGAGCTTGCCTGGTCTAGAAGCTTGCCTGTTCTAGGAGCTTGCCTCGTCCAGGAGCTTTCCAGGTTCAAGAGCTTACCTTGTCCAGGAGCATGCCTGGTCCAGGAGCTTTCCTGGTCCAGGAGCTTGCTTGGTCCTTGAGCTTGCCTGGTCCAAGAGCTTGCCTAGTCCAAGAGATCGCCTAGTCCAGGAGCTTGTTTGGTCCAGGAGCTTGCCTGGTCCAAGAGCTTGCCTGGTCCCAAGATTTCCTCGTCCAAGAGCTTGCCTGGTCCAGGAGCTTGCCTGGTCCAGGAGCGTGCCTGGTCAAGGAGCTTGCCTGGTCCAGGAGCTTGCCTTGTCCATGAGCTTGCCTGGTCCAGGAGCGTGCCTGGTCCACGAGCTTGCCTGGTCCAAGAGCTTGCCTGGTCCAAGAGCGTGCCTGGTCCGCGAGCATGCCTGGCCCAGGAGCTTGCCTGGTCCAGGAGCTTGCCTGGTCCAGGAGCTTGCCTGGTCCAGGAGCTTACGTGGTCCAGGAGCTTGCCTGGTCCATGAGCTTGCCTCGTCCAGGAGCTTACCTGGTCCAGGAGCGTGCCTGGTCCACGAGCCTGCCTGGACCAAGAGCTTGCCTGGTCTAAGAGCTTGCCTGGTCCAGGAGCTTGCCCGTTCCAGGAGCGTGCCTGGTCCAAGAGCTTGCTATGTCCAAGAGCGTGCTTGGTCCCGGAGCTTGCCTGCTCCAGGAGCTTGCCTGGTCTAGGAGCATGCGTGGTCCAAGAGCTTGCCTAGTCCAGGAGCTTGCATGGTCCACGAGCTTGCATGTTCCAGAAGCTTGCCTAGTCCTGGAGCTTGCCTGGTCCAGGAGCGTGCCTGCTCCAAGAGCTTGCCTGGTCTAGAAGCTTGCCTGTTCTAGGAGCTTGCCTGGTCCAGGAGCTTTCCAGGTTCAAGAGCTTACCTGGTCCAGGAGCATGCCTGGTCCAGGAGCTTTCCTGGTCCAGGAGCTTGCTTGGTCCTTGAGCTTGCCTGGTCCAAGAGCTTGCCTAGTCAAAGAGCTTGCCTAGTCCAGGAGCTTGCTTGGTCCAGGAGCTTGCCTGGTCCAAGAGCTTGCCTGGTCCACGAGATTTCCTCGTCCAAGAGCTTGCCTGGTCCAGGAGCTTGCCTGGTCCAGGAGCGTGCCTGGTCCAGGAGCTTGCCTGGTCCAGGAGCTTGCCTTGTCCAGAAGCTTGCCTGGTCCAGGAGCGTGCCTGGTCCACGAGCTTGCCTGGTCCAAGAGCTTGCCTGGTCCAAGAGCGTGCCTCGTCCGCGAGCGTGCCTAGCCCAGGAGCTTGCCTGGTCCAAGAGCTTGCCTGGTCCAGGAGCTTGCCTGGTCGAGGAGCTTGTCTGGTCCAGGAGCTTGCTTGGTCCAGGAGCGTGCATGGTCCAGGAGCTTGCTTGGTCCAGGAGCTTGCTTGGCCCAGAAGCCTGCCTAGTCCAAGAGCTTGACTGGTCGAGGAGCGTGCCTGGTCCAATAGCGTGCGTGGTCCACGAGCTAGCCTGGTCCAGGAGCTTGCTTTGTCCAGGAGCGTCCGTGGTCCAAGAGCTTGCCTGGTCCATGAGCGTGCCTGGTCCAAGAGCTTGCGTGGTCCAAGAGCTTGCGTGGTCCAGGAGCGTGCCTGGTCCACGAGCTTGCCTCGTGCACGAGCATGCCTGGTCCACGAGCTTGCATGGTCCAGGAGCTTGCCTGGTCTAGGAGCATGCGTCGTCCAAGAGCTTGCCTGGTCCAGGAGCTTGCATGGTCCACGAGCTTGCATGTTCCAGAAGCTTGCCTGGTCCAGGAGCTTGCCTGGTCCAAGAGCTTGCCTGGTCCAGGAGCGTGCCTGCTCCAAGAGCTTGCCTGGTCTAGAAGCTTGCCTGTTCTAGGAGCTTGCCTCGTCCAGGAGCTCTCCAGGTTCAAGAGCTTACCTGGTCCAGGAGCATGCCTGGTCCAGGAGCTTTCGTGGTCCAGGAGCTTGCTTGGTCCTTGAGCTTGCCTGGTCCAAGAGCTTGCCTAGTCCAAGAGATCGCCTAGTCCAGGAGCTTGCTTGGTCCAGGAGCTTGCCTGGTCCAAGAGCTTGCCTGGTCCACGAGATTTCCTCGTCCAAGAGCTTGCCTGGTCCAGGAGCTTGCCTGGTCCAGGAGCTTGCCTTGTCTAGGAGCTTGCCTAGTCCAGGAGCGTGCCTGGTCCACGAGCTTGCCTGGTCCAAGAGCTTGCCTAGTCCAAGAGCGTGCCTAGTCCGCGAGCGTGCCTGGCCCAGGAGCTTGCCTTGTCTAGGAGCTTGCGTGGTCTAGGAGCTTGCCTGGTCCAGGAGCTTACCTGGTCCAGGAGCTTGCCTGGTCCATGAGCTTGCCTCGTCCAGGAGCTTACCTGGTCCAGGAGCGTGCCTGGTCCACGAGCCTGCCTGGTCAAAGAGCTTGCCTGGTCTAAGAGCTTGCCTGGTCCAGGAGCTTGCCCATTCCAGGAGCGTGCCTGGTCCAAGAGCTTGCTATGTCCAAGAGCGTGCTTGGTCCCGGAGCTTGCCTGGTCCAGGAGCTTGCCTGGTCTAGGAGCATGCGTGGTCCAAGAGCATGCCTGGTCTAGGAGCTTGCATGGTCTACGAGCTTGCATGTTCCAGAAGCTTGCCTGGTCCCGGAGCTTGCCTGGTCCAAGAGCTTGCCTGGTCCAGGAGCGTGCCTGCTCCAAGAGCTTGCCTGGTCTAGAAGCTTGCCTGTTCTAGGAGCTTGCCTCGTCCAGGAGCTTTCCAGGTTCAAGAGCTTACCTGGTCCAGGAGCATGCCTGGTCCAGGAGCTTTCCTGGTCCAGGAGCTTGCTTGGTCCTTGAGCTTGCCTGGTCCAAGAGCTTGCCTAGTCCAAGAACTCGCCTAGTCCAGGAGCTTGCTTGGTCCAGAAGCTTGCCTCGTCCAAGAGCTTGCCTGGTCCACGAGATTTCCTCGTCCAAGAGCTTGCCTGGTCCAGGAGCTTGCCTGGTCCAGGAGCGTGCCTGGTCCAGGAGCTTGCCTGGTCCAGGAGCTTGCCTTGTCCAGGAGCTTGCCTGGTCAAGGAGCGTGCCTGGTCCACGAGCTTGCCTGGTCCAAGAGCTTGCCTGGTTCAAGAGCGTGCCTCGTCCGCAAGCGTGCCTGGCCCAGGAGCTTGCCTGGTCCAAGAGCTTGCCTGGTCCAGGAGCTTGCCTGGTCGAGGAGCTTGTCTGGTCCAGGAGCTTGCCTGGTCCAGGAGCGTGCATGGTCGAGGAGCTTGCTTGGTCCAGGAGCTTGCTTGGCCCAGAAGCCTGCCTAGTCCAAGAGCTTGACTGGTCGAGGAGCGTGCCTGGTCCAATAGCGTGCGTGGTCCACGAGCTAGCCTGGTCCAAGAGCTTCCTTTGTCCAGGAGCGTGCGTGGTCCAAGAGCTTGCATGGTCCATGAGCGTGCCTGGTCCAAGAGCTTGCGTGATCCAGGAGCTTGCGTGGTCCAGGAGCGTGCCTGGTCCACGAGCTTGCCTCGTGCACGAGCATGCCAGGTTCACGAGCTTGCATGGTCCAGGAGCTTGCCTGGTCCAGGAGCTTGCCTGGTCCATGAGCTTGCCTGGTCCAGGAGCTTGCCTGGTCCGGGAGCTTGCCTGGTCTAGAAGCTTGCCTGGTCCAGGAGCTTGCCTGGTCTAGGAGCTTGCCAGGTCCAGGAGCTTTCCTGGTCAAGGAGCTTGCCTGGTCCAAGAGCGTGCGTGGTCCACGAGCTTGCCTGGTCTAGGAGCTTGCCTGGTCCAAGAGCTTGCCTGGTCCAAGTGCTTACCTGGTCTTAGAGCTTGCGTGGTCCTGGAGATGGAAAGCGGGAGAATGGGGCGGGGTGATGGAAAGCGGGAGAATGGGGCGGGGTGATGGAAGCAGGGAGAATGAGGCGGGGTGATGGAAGGAGGGAGAATGGGGCAGGGTGATGGAAAGCGGGAGAATGGGGCGGGGTGATGGAAAGCGGGAGAATGGGGCGGGGTGTTGGAAAGCGGGAGAATGGGGCGGGGTGATGAAAAGCGGGAGAATGGGGCGGGGTGATGGAAAGTGGGAGAATGGGGCGGGGTGATGGAAAGCGGGAGAATGGGGCGGGTGATGGAAAGCAGGTGAATGGGGCTGGGTGATGGAAAGCAGGAGAATGGGGCGGGGTGATGGAAAGCGGGAGAATGGGGCGTGTAATGGAAAGCGGGAGAATGGGGCGGGGTGATGGAAGGAGGGAGAATGGGGAGGGGTGATGGAAAGCGGGGGAATGGGGCGGGATGATGGGAAGCGGGAGAATGGGGCGGGGTGATGGAAAGCGGGAGAATGGGGCGGGGTGATGGAAAGCGGGAGAATGGGGCAGGGAGATGGAAAGCGGGAGAAAGGGGCGGGGTGATGGAAAGCCGGAGAATGGGGCGGGCTGATGGAAAGCGGGAGAATGGGGCGGGGTGATGGAAGGAGGGAGAATGGGGCGGGGTGATGGAAGGAGGGAGAAGGGGGCGGGGTGATGGAAAGCGGAAGAATGGCGCGGGGTGATGGAAAGCGGGAGAATGGGGCAGGGTGATGGAAAGCGGGAGAATGGGGCGGGGTGATGGAAAGTGGGAGAATGGTGCGGGGTGATGGAAAGCGGAGGAATGGGGCAGGGTGATGGAAAGCGGGAGAATGGGGCGGGGTGAAGGAAGGAGGGAGAATGGAGCGGGGTGATGGAAAGAGGAAGAAGGGGGCGGGGTGATGGAAAGCGAGAGAATGGGCCGGGGTGTTGGAAAGCGGGAGAATGGGGCGGGGTGATGAAAAGCGGGAGAATGGGGTGGGGTGATGGAAAGCGGGAGAATGGGGCGGTCTGATGGAAAGCGGGAGAATGGGGCGGGTGATGGAAAGCGGGTGAATGGGGCAGGGTGATGGAAAGCGGGAGAATGGGGCGGGGTGATGGAAAGCAGAAGAATGGGGCGGGGTGATGGAAAGCGGGAGAACGGGGCGAGGTGATGGAAAGCGGGAGAATGGGGCGGGTGATGGAAAGCGGGAGAATGGGGCGGGAGATGGAAAGCGGGAGAAAGGGGCGGGGTGATGGAAGGAGGGAGAATGGGGAGGGGTGATGGAAAGCGGGGGAATGGGGCGGGATGATGGGAAGCGGAAGAATGGGGTGGGGTGATGGAAAGCGGGAGAATGGGGCGGTCTGATGGAAAGCGGGAGAATGGGGCGGGGAGATGGAAAGCGGGAGAAAGGGGCGGGGTGATGGAAAGCTGGAGAATGGGGCGGGCTGATGGAAAGCGGGAGAATGGGGCGGGGTGATGGAAGGAGGGAGAATGGGGCGGGGTGATGGAAGGAGAGAGAAGGGGGCGGGGTGATGGAAAGTGGGAAAATGTGGCGGGGTGATGGAAAGCGGGAGAATGGGGGTGGGGTTATGGGAAGCGGGAGAATGGCGCGGGGTGATGGAAAGCGGGAGAATGGAGCGGGGTGATGGAATGAGGGAGAATGGGGCGAGGTGATGGAAAGCGGGAGAATGGGGCGGGGTGATGGAAGGAGGGAGAATGGGGCGAGGTGATGGAAAGCGGGAGAATGGGGCGGGGTGATGGAAGGAGGGAGAATGGGGCGGGGTGATGGAAAGCGGGAGAATGGGTCGGGGTGATGGAAAGCGGGAGAATGGGGCGCGGTGATGGAAAGTGAGAGAATGGGGCGGGGTGATGGAAAGCGGGAGAATGGGGCGGGGTGATGGAAGAGGGGAGAATGGGGAGGGGTGATGGAAAGCAGGGGAATGGGGCGGGATGATGGGAAGCGGGAGAATGGGGCGGGGTGATGGAAGCGGGAGAATGGGGCGGGGAGATGGAAAGCGGGAGAATGGGGCAGGGAGATGGAAAGCGGGAGAAAGGGGCGGGGTGATGGAAAGCGGGAGAATGGGGCGGGCTGATGGAAAGCGGGAGAATGGGGCGGGGTGATGGAAGGAGGGAGAATGGGGCGGGGTGATGGAAGGAGGGAGAAGGGGGCGGGGTGGTGGAAAGCGGGAGAATGGGGCGGGGTGATGGAAAGCGGGAGAATGGGGCGGGGTGATGGAAGGAGGGAGAATGGGGCGGGGTGATAGAAAGCGGGAGAATGGGGCGGGATGATGGGAAGCGGGAGAGTGGGGCGGGGTGATGGAAAGCGGGAGAAAGGGGCGGGGTGATGGAAGGAGGGAGAATGGGGCGGGGTGATGGAAGGAGGGAGAAGGGGGCGGGGTGATGGAAAGCGGGAGAATGGGGCGGGGTGATGGAAAGCGGGAGAATGGGGCGGGGTGATGGAAAGCGGGAGAATGGGGCACGGAGATGGAAAGCGGGAGAAAGGGGCGGGGTGATGGAAAGCGGGAGAATGGGGCGGGGTGATGGAAAGCGGGAGAATGGGGCGGGGTGATGGAAGGAGGGAGAATGGGGCGGGGTGATGGAAGGAGGGAGAAGGGGGCGGGGTGATGGAAAGCGGGAGAATGGGGCGGGGTGATGGAAAGCGGGAGAATGGGGCGGGGTGATGGAAGGAGGGAGAATGGGGCGGGGTGATGGAAAAGCGGGAGAATGGGGCGGGGTGATGGAAAGCGGGAGAAAGGGGCAGGGTGATGGAAAGCGGGAGAATGGGGCGGGGTGAAGGAAGGAGGGAGAATGGGGCGGGGTGATGGAAGGAGGAAGAAGGGGGCGGGGTGATGGTAAGCGAGAGAATGGGCTGGGGTGTTGGAAAGCGGGAGAATGGGGCGGGGTGATGAAAAGCGGGAGAATGGGGCGGGGTGATGGAAAGCGGGAGAATGGGGCGGGGTGATGGAAAGCGGGAAAATGGGGCGGGTGATGGAAAGCGGGAGAATGGGGCGGGGTGATGGAAAGCGGGAGAATGGGGCAGGGTGATGGAAAGCGGGAGAATGGGGCGGGGTGATGGAAAGCAGAAGAATGGGGCGGGGTGATGGAAAGCGGGAGAGTGGGGCGAGGTGATGGAAAGCGGGAGAATGGGGCGGGTGATGGAAAGTGGGAGAATGGGGCGGGGTGATGGAAGGAGGGAGAATGGGGAGGGGTGATGGAAAGCGGGGGAATGGGGCGGGATGATGGGAAGCGGAAGAATGGGGCAGGGTGATGGAAAGCAGGAGAATGGGGCCGTGTGATGGAACGCGAGAGAATGGGGCGGGGAGATGGAAAGCGGGAGAAAGGGGCGGGGTGATGGAAAGCGGGAGAATGGGGCGGGCTTATGGAAAGCGGGAGAATGGGGCGGGGTGATGGAAGGAGGGAGAATGGGGCGGGGTGATGGAAGGAGAGAGAAGGGGGCGGGGTGATGGAAAGTGGGAAAATGTGGCGGGGTGATGGAAAGCGGGAGAATGGGGTGGGGTTATGGGAAGCGGGAGAATGGGGCGGGGTGATGGAAAGCGGGAGAATGAAGCGGGGTGATGGAAAGCGGGAGAATGGGGCGGGGTGATGGAAAGCGGGAGAATGGGGCGGGTGATGGAAAGCGGGTGAATGGGGCGGGGTGATGGAAAGCAGGAGAATGGGGCGGGGTGATGGAAAGCAGAAGAATAGGGCGGGGTGATGGAAAGCGGGAGATGGGGCGAGGTGATGGAAAGCGGGAGAATGGGGCGGGTAATGGAAAGCGGGAGAATGGGGCGGGGTGATGGAAGGAGGGAGAATGGGGCGGGGTTATGGAAGGAGGGAGAAGGGGGCGGGGTGATGGAAAGCGGAAGAATGGCGCGGGGTGATGGAAAGCGGGAGAATGGGGCAGGGTGATGGAAAGCGGGAGATGGGGCGAGGTGATGGAAAGCGGGAGAATGGGGCGGGTAATGGAAAGCGGGAGAATGGGGCGGGGTGATAGAAGGAGGGAGAATGGGGAGGGGTGATGGAAAGCGGGGGAATGGGGCGGGATGATGGGAAGCGGGATAATGGGGCGGGGTGATGGAAAGCGGTAGAATGGGGCGGGTTGATGGAAAGCGGGAGAATGGGGCAGGGTGATGGAAAGCGGGAGAAAGGGGCGGGCTGATGGAAAGCGGTAGAATGGGGCGGGGTGATGGAAGGAGGGAGAATGGGGCGGGGTGATGGAAGGAGGGAGAAGGGGGCGGCGTGATGGAAAGCGGGAGAATGGAGCGGGGTGATGGAAAGCGGGAGAATGGGGCGGGGTGATGGAAGGAAGGAGAATGGGGCGGGGTGATGGAAAGCGGGAGAATGTGGCGGGGTGATGGAAAGCGGGAGAATGAGGTGGGGTTATGGGAAGCGGGAGAATGGGGCGGGGTGATGGAAAGCGGGAGAATGGGGCGGGGTGATGGAAGGAGGGAGAATAGCGCGTTGTGATGGAAAGCGGGAGAATGGGGCAGGGTGATGGAAGGAGGGAGAATGGGGCGGGGTGATGGAAAGCGGGAGAATGGGGCGGGGTGATGGAAGGAGGGAGAATGGGGCGGGGTGATGGAAGGAGGGAGAATGGGGCGGGGTGATGGAAAGTGGGAGAATGGGGCGTGGTGATGGAAAGCGGGAGAATGGGGCGGTGTGATGGAAGGAGGGAGAATGGGGCGGGGTGATGGAAAGCGGGAGAATGGGGCGGGGTGATGGAAAGTGGGAGCATGGGGCGGGGTGATGGAAGGAGGTAGAATGGGGCGGGGAGATGGAAAGCGGGAGAATGGGGTGGGCTGATGGAAAGCGGGAGAATGGGGCGGGGTGATGGAAGGAGGGAGAATGGGGCGGGGTGATGGAAATTAGGAGAATGGGACGGGGCGATGGAAAGCGGGAGCATGGGGCGGGGTGATGGAAGGAGGTAGAATGAGGCGGGGTGATGGAAGGAGGGAGAATGGGGCGGGGAGATGGAAAGCGGGAGAATGGGGCGGGGTGATGGAAAGCGGGAGAATGGGGCGGGGTGATGGAAAGCGGGAGAATGGGGCGGGGTGACGGAAAGCGGGAGAATGGGGCGGGGTGATGGAAAGCGGGAGAATGGGGCGGGGTGATGGAAAGCGGGAGAATGGGGCGGGGTGATGGAAAGCGGGAGAATGGGGCGGGCTGATGGAAAGCGGGAGAATGGGGCGGGCTGATGGAAAGCGGGAGAATAGGGCGGGGTGATGGAAGGAGGGAGAAAGGGGCGGGGTGATGGAAGGAGGGAGAACGGGGCGGGTGATGGAAGGAGGGATAATGGGGCGGGGTTATGGAAAGCGGGAGAATGGGGCGGGGTGATGGAAAGCGGGAGAATGGGGCGGGGTGATGGAAGGAGGGAGAATGGGGCGGGGTGATGGAATGCGGGAGATTGGGGCAGGGTGATGGAAAGCGTGAGAATGGGGCAGGGTGATAGAAAGCGGGAAAATGGGGCGGGGTGATGGAAAGTGGGAGAATGGGGCGGGGTGATGGAAAGCGGGAGAATGGGGCGGGTGATGGAAAGTGGGTGAATGGGGCGGGGTGATGGAAAGCAGGAGAATGGGGCGAGGTGATGGAAAGCGGGAGATGGGGCGAGGTGATGGAAAACGGGAGAATGGGGCGTGTAATGGAAAGCGGGAGAATGGGGCGGGGTGATGGAAGGAGGGAGAATGGGGAGGGGTGATGGAAAGCGGGGGAATGGGGCGGGATGATGGGAAGCGGGAGAATGGGGCGGGGTGATAGAAAGCGGGAGAATGGGGCGGGGTGATGGAAAGCGGGAGAATGGGGCAGGGAGATGGAAAGCGGGAGAAAGGGGCGGGGTGATGGAAAGCGGGAGAATGGGGCGGGCTGATAGAAAGCGGGAGAATGGGGCGGGGTGATGGAAGGAGGGAGAATGGGGCGGGGTGATGGAAGGAGGGAGAAGGGGGCGGGGTGATGGAAAGCGGAAGAATGGCGCGGGGTGATGGAAAGCGGGAGAATGGGGCGGGGTGATGGAAAGCGGGAGAATGGGGCGGGGTGATGGAAAGCGGGAGAATGGTGCGGGGTGATGGAAAGCGGGAGAATGGGGCAGGGTGATGGAAAGCGGGAGAATAGGGCGGGGTGAAGGAAGGAGGGAGAACGGGGCGGGGTGGTGGAAAGAGGAAGAAGGGGGCGGGGTGATGGAAAGCGAGAGAATGGGCCAGGGTGTTGGAAAGCGGGAGAATGGGGCGGGGTGATGAAAAGCAGGAGAATGGGGCGGGGTGATGGAAAGTGGGAGAATGGGCCGGGGTGATGGAAAGCGGGAGAATGGGGCCGGTGATGGAAAGCGGGTGAATGGGGCAGGGTGATGGAAAGCGGGAGAATGGGGCGGGGTGATGGAAAGCAGAAGAATGGGGCGGGGTGATGGAAAGCGGGAGAATGGGGCGAGGTGATGGAAAGCGGGAGAATGGGGCGGGTGATGGAAAGCGGGAGAATGGGGCGGGGAGATGGAAAGCGGGAGAAAGGGGCGGGGTGATGGAAGGAGGGAGAATGGGGAGGGGTGATGGAAAGCGGGGGAATGGGGCGGGATGATGGGAAGCGGAAGAATGGGGCGGGGTGATGGAAAGCGGGAGAATGGGGCGTTGTGATGGAAAGCGGGAGAATGGGGCGGGGAGATGGAAAGCGGGAGAAAGGGGCGGGGTGATGGAAAGCGGGAGAATGGGGCGGGCTGATGGAAAGCGGGAGAATGGGGCGGGGTGATGGAAGGAGGGAGAAGGGGTCGGGGTGATGGAAGGAGAGAGAAGGGGTCGGGGTGATGGAAAGTGGGAAAATGTGGCGGGGTGATGGAAAGCGGGAGAATGGGGCGGGGTGATGGAATGCGGGAGAATGGAGCGGGGTGATGGAATGAGGGAGAATGGGGCAGGGTGATGGAAGGAGGGAGAATGGGGCGGGGTGATGGAAAGCGGGAGAATGGGGCGGGGTGATGGAAGGAGGGAGAATGGGGCGGGGTGATGGAAAGCGGGAGAATGGGTCGGGGTGATGGAAAGCGGGAGAACGGGGCGGGGTGATGGAAAGCAAGAGAATGGGGCGGGGTGATAGAAGGAGGGAGAATGGGGAGGGGTGATGGAAAGCGGGGGAATGGGGCGGGATGATGGGAAGCGGAAGAATGGGGCGGGGTGATGGAAAGCGGGAGAATGGGGCGGGGTGATGGAAAGCGGGAGAATGGGGCGGGGAGATGGAAAGCGGGAGAAAGGGGAGGGGTGATGGAAAGCGGGAGAATGGGGCGGGCTGATGGAAAGCGGGAGAATGGGGCGGGGTGATGGAAAGAGGGAGAATGGGGCGGGGTGATGGAAGGAGAGAGAAGGGTGCGGGGTGATGGAAAGTGGAAGATTGTGGCGGGGTGATGGAAAGCGGGAGAATGGGGTGGGGTTATGGGAAGCGGGAGAATGGGGCGGGGTGATGGAAAGCGGGAGAATGGGGCGGGGTGATGGAAGGAGGGAGAATGGGGCGGGGTGATGGAAGGAGGGAGAATGGGGCGGGGTGATGGAAAGCGGGAGAATGGGGCGGGGTGATGGAAGGAGGGAGAATGGGGAGGGGTGATGGAAAGCGGGGGAATGGGGCGGGATGATGGGAAGTGGGAGAATGGGGCAGGGTGATGGAAAGCGGGAGAATGGGGCGGGGTGATGGAAAGCGGGAGAATGGGGCAGGGAGATGGAAAGCGGGAGAATGGAGCGGGGTGATGGAAAGCGGGAGAATGGGGCGGGTGATGGAAGGAGGAAGAAGGGGGCGGGGTGATGGAAAGCGAGAGAATGGGCTGGGGTGTTGGAAAGCGGGAGAATGGGGCGGGGTGATGAAAAGCGGGAGAATGGGGCGGGGTGATGGAAAGTGGGAGAATGGGGCGGGGTGATGGAAAGCGGGAGAATGGGGCGGGTGATGGAAAGCGGGTGAATGGGGCAGGGTGATGGAAAGCGGGAGAATGGGGCGGGGTGATGGAAAGCAGAAGAATGGGGCGGGGTGATGGAACGCGGGAGAATGGGGCGAGGTGATGGAAAGCGGGAGAATGGGGCGGGTGATGGAAAGTGGGAGAATGGGGCGGGGTGATGGAAGGAGGGAGATTGGGGAGGGGTGATGGAAAGCGGGGGAATGGGGCGGGATGATGGGAAGCGGAAGAATGGGGCGGGGTGATGGAAAGCGGGAGAATGGGGTGGTGTGATGGAAAGCGGGAGAATGGGGCAGGGTGATGGAAAGCGGGAGAATGGGGCGGGGTGAAGGAAGGAGGGAGAATGGGCCGGGGTGATGGAAGAAGGAAGAAGGGGGCGGGGTGATGGAAAGTGGGAAAATGTGGCGGGGTGATGGAAAGCAGGAGAATGGGGTGGGGTTATGGGAAGCGGGAGAATGGGGCGGGGTGATGGAAAGCGGGAGAATGGAGCGGGGTGATGGAATGAGGGAGAATGGGGCGGGGTTATGGGAAGCGGGAGAATGGGGCGGGGTGATGGAAAGCGGGAGAATGGGGCGGGGTGATGGAAGGAGGGAGAACGGGACGGGGTGATGGAAGGAGGGAGAATGGGGCGGGGTGATGGAAAGCAGGAGAATGGGGCGGGGAGATGGAAGGAGGGAGAATGGGGCGGGGTGATGGAAAGCGGGAGAATGGGGCGGGGTGATGGAAAGAGGGAGAATGGGGCGGGGTGATGGTAAGCGGGAGAATGGGGCGGGGTGACGGAAGGAGGGAGAATGGGGCGGGGTGATGGAAGGAGGGAGAATGGGGCGGGGAGATGGAAAGCGGGAGAATGGGGCGGGGTGATGGAAAGCGGGAGAATGGGGCGGGGTGATGGAAAGCGGGAGAATGGGGCGGGGTGACGGAAAGCGGGAGAATGGGGCGGGGTGATGGAAAGCGGGAGAATGGGGCGGGGTGATGGAAAGAGGGAGAATGGGGCGGGGTGATGGAAGGAGAGAGAAGGGTGCGGGGTGATGGAAAGTGGAAGATTGTGGCGGGGTGATGGAAAGCGGGAGAATGGGGTGGGGTTATGGGAAGCGGGAGAATGGGGCGGGGTGATGGAAAGCGGGAGAATGGGGCGGGGTGATGGAAGGAGGGAGAATGGGGCGGGGTGATGGAAGGAGGGAGAATGGGGCGGGGTGATGGAAAGCGGGAGAATGGGGCGGGGTGATGGAAGGAGGGAGAATGGGGAGGGGTGATGGAAAGCGGGGGAATGGGGCGGGATGATGGGAAGCGGGAGAATGGGGCAGGGTGATGGAAAGCGGGAGAATGGGGCGGGGTGATGGAAAGCGGGAGAATGGGGCAGGGAGATGGAAAGCGGGAGAATGGAGCGGGGTGATGGAAAGCGGGAGAATGGGGCGGGGTGATGGAAAGCGGGAGAATGGGGTGGGGTGATGGAAAGCGAGAGAATGGGGCGGGGTGATGGAAAGCGGGAGAATGGGGCGGGGTGATGGAATGAGGAAGAATGGGGCGGGGTGATGGAAGGAGGGAGAATGAAGCGGGGTGATGGAAAGCGGGAGAATGGGGCGGGGTGATGGAAGGAGGAAGAATGGGGCGGGGTGATGGAAAGCGGGAGAATGGGGCGGGGTGATGGAAAGCGGGAGAATGGGGCGGGGTGATGGAAAGCGAGAGAATGGGGCGGGGTGATGGAAGGAGGGAGAATGGGGAGGGGTGATGGAAATCGGGGGAATGGGGCGGGATGATGGGAAGCGGAAGAATGGGGCGGGGTGATGGAAAGCGGGAGAATGGGGCAGGGTGATGGGAAGCGGGAGAATGGGGCGGGGGGATGGAAAGCGGGAGAAAGGGGAGGGGTGATGGAAAGCGGGAGAATGGGGCGGGCTGATGGAAAGCGGGAGAATGGGGCGGGGTGATGGAAGGAGGGAAAATGGGGCGGGGTGATGGAAGGAGAGAGAAGGGGGCGGGGTGATGGAAAGCGGGAGAATGGGGTGGGGTTGTGGGAAGCGGGAGAATGGGGCGGGGTGATGGAAAGCGGGGGAATGGGGCGGGGTGATGGAAGGAGGGAGAATGGGGCGGGGTGATGGAAGGAGGGAGAATGGGGCGGAGTGATGGAAAGCGGGAGAATGGGGCGGGGTGATGGAAGGAGGGAGAATGGGGCAGGATGATGGAAAGCGGGAGAATGGGGCGGGGTGATGGAAAGCGGGAGAATGGGGTGGGGTGATGGAAAGCGGGAGAATGGGGTGGGGTGATGGAAATCAGGAGAATGGGGCGGGGTGATGGAAAGCGGGAGAATGGGGCGGAGTGATGGAAGGAGGGAGAATGGGGCGGGGTTATAGAAAGCGGGAGAATGTGGCGGTGTGATGGAAAGCGGGAGAAGGGGGTGGGGTTATGGGAAGCGGGAGAAAGGGGCGGGGTGATGGAAAGCGGGAGAATGGGGCGGGGTGATGGAAGGAGGGAGAATGGGGCGGGGTGATGGAAGGAGGGAGAATGGGGCGGGGTGATGGAAGGAGGGAGAATGGGGCGGGGTGATGGAAAGCGCGAGAATGGGGCGGGGTGATGGAAGGAGGGAGAATGGGGCGGGGTGATGGAAAGCGGGAGAATGGGGCGGGGTGATGGAAAGCGGGAGGATGGGGCGGGGTGATGGAAGGAAGGAGAATGGGGTGGGGTGATGGAAAGCGGGAGATTGGGGCAGGGTGATGGAAAGCGGGAGAATGGGGCGGGGTGATGGAAAGCGGGAAAATGGGGCGGGGTGATGGAAAGCGGGAGAATGGGGCTGGGTGATGGAAAGCGGGAGAATGGGGCGGGGTGATGGAAAGCGGGAGAATGGGGCGGGGTGATGGAAGGAGGGAGAATGGGGCGGGGTGATGGAAGGAGAGAGAAGGGGGCGGGGTGATGGAAAGTGGGAGAATGTGGCGGGGTGATGGAAAGCGGGAGAATGGGGTGGGGTTATGGGAAGCGGGAGAATGGGGCGGGGTGATGGAAAGCGGGAGAATGGGGCGGGGTGATGGAAGGAGGGAGAATGGGGCGGGGTGATGGAAGGAGGGAGAATGGGGCGGAGTGATGGAAAGCGGGAGAATGGGGCGGGGTGATAGAAGGAGGGAGAATGGGGCGGGATGATGGAAAGCGGGAGGATGGGGCAGGGTGATGGAAAGCGGGAGAATGGGGCGGGGTGATGGAAAGCGGGAGAATGGGGCGGGGTGATGGAAAGCGGGAGAATGGGGCGGGTTGATGGAAGGAGGGAGAATGGGGTGGGGTGATAGAAAGCGGGAGAATGTGGCGGGGTGATGGAAAGCGGGAGAATGGGGTGGGGTTATGGGAAGCGGGAGAATGAGGCGGGGTGATGGAAAGCGGGAGAATGGGGCGGGGTGATGGAAGGAGGGAGAATGGGGCGGGGTGATGGAAGGAGGGAGAATGGGGCGGAGTGATGGAAAGCGGGAGAATGGGGCGGGGTGATGGAAGGAGGGAGAATGGGGCGGGATGATGGAAAGCGGGAGAATGGGGCAGGGTGATGGAAAGCGGGAGAATGGGGCGGGGTGATGGAAAGCGGGAGAATGGGGCGGGGTGATGGAAATCGGGAGAATGGGGCGGGGTGATGGAAAGCGGGAGAATGGGGCGGGTTGATGGAAGGAGGGAGAATGGGGCGGGGTGATAGAAAGCGGGAGAATGTGGCGGGTGATGGAAAGCAGGAGAAGGGGGTGGGGTTATGGGAAGCGGGAGAATGGGGCGGGGTGATGGAAAGCGGGAGAATGGGGCGGGGTGATGGAAGGAGGGAGAATGGGGCGGGGTGATGGAAGGAGGGAGAATGGGGCGGGGTGATGGAATGCGGGAGAATGGGGCGGGGTGATGGAAGGAGGGAGAATGGGGCGGGGTGATGGAAAGCGGGAGAATGGGGCGGGGTGATGGAAAGCGGGAGAATGGGGCTGGGTGATGGAAAGCGGGAGAATGGGGCGGGGTGATGGAAAGTGGGAGAATGGGGCGGGGTGATGGAAGGAGGGAGAATGGGGTGGGGTGATGGAAAGCGGGAGATTGGGGCAGGGTGATGGAAAGCGGGAGAATGGGGCGGGGTGATGGAAAGCGGGAAAATGGGGCGGGGTGATGGAAAGCGGGAGAATGGGGCGGGGTGATGGAAGGAGGGAGAATAGGGCGGGGTTATGGAAAGTGGGAGAATGGGTCGGGGTGATGGAAAGCGGGAGAATGGGGCGGAGTGATGGAAAGCGGGAGAATGGGGCGGGGTGATGGAAAGCGGGAGAACGGGGCGGGGTGATGGAAAGCGGGAGAATGGGGCAGGGTGATGGAAAGCGGGAAAATGGGGCGGGGTGATGGAAAGCGGGAGAATGGGGCGGAGTGATGGAAAGCGGGAGAATGGGGCGAGGTGATGGAAAGCGAGAGAATGGGGCGGGTGATGGAAAGGGGGAGAATGGGGCGGGGTGATGGAAAGCGGGGGAATGGGGCGGGATGATGGGAAGCGGAAGAATGGGGCGGGGTGGTGGAAAGCGGGAGAATGGGGCGGGGTGATGGAAAGCGGGAGAATGGGGCGGGGAGATGGAAAGCGGGAGAAAGGGGCGGGGTGATGGAAAGCGGGAGAATGGGGCGGGCTGATGGAAAGCGGGAGAATGGGGCGGGGTGATGGAAGGAGGGAGAATGGGGTGGGGTGATGGAAGGAGAGAGAAGGGAGCGGGGCGATGGAAAGTGGGAAAATGTGGCGGGGTGATGGAAAGCGGGAGAATGGGGTGGGGTTATGGGAAGCAGGAGAATGGGGCGTGGTGATGGAAAGCGGGAGAATGGGGCGGGGTGATAGAATGAGGGAGAATGGGGCCGGGTGATGGAAGGAGGGAGATTGGGGCGGGGTAATGGAAAGCGGGAGAATGGGGCGGGGTGATGGAAGGAGGGAGAATGGGGCGGGGTGATGGAAAGCGGGAGAATGGGGCGGGGTGATGGAAAGCGGGAGAATGGGGCGGGGTGATGGAAAGCAAGAGAATGGGGTGGGGTGATGGAAGGAGGGAGAATGGGGAGGGGTGATGGAAAGTGGGGGAATGGGGCGGGATGATGGGAAGCGGAAGAATGGGGCGGGGTGATGGAAAGAGGGAGAATGGGGCGGGGTGATGGAAAGCGAGAGAATGGGGCGGGGAGATAGAAAGCGGGAGAATGGAGCGGGGTGATGGAAAGCGGGAGAATGGGGCGGGCTGATGGAAAGCGGGAGAATGGGGCGGGGTGATGGAAGGAGGGAGAATGGGGCGTGGTGATGGAAGGAGAGAGAAGGGGGCGGGGTGATGGAAAGTGGGAGAATGTGGCGGGGTGATGGAAAGAAGGAGAATGGGGCGGGGTGATGGAAAGCGGGAGAATGGGGCGGGGTGATGGAAGGAGGGAGAATGGGGCGGGGTGATAGAAAGCGGGAGAATGTGGCGGGGTGATGGAAAGCGGGAGAATGGGGTGGCGTGTGCAAAAAAAAAGAACAAGGGCATGGCGTGTGCAAAATAGCAAGAACAAGGGCCTAGCGTGTGCAAAATAAAAAGAACAAGGGCCTAGCGTGTGCAAAATAAAAAGAACAAGGGCCTAGCGTTTGCAAAATTGCAAGAACAAGGGCCTAGCATGTGCAAAATTGCAAGAACAAGGGCTTAGCGAGTGCAAAATAGCAAGAGCAAGGGCCTAGCGTGTGCAAAAAATCAAGAACAAGGGCCTAGCGTTCGCGAAATAGCAAAAACAAGGGCCTAGCGTGTGCAAAATAAAAAGAACAAGGGTCTAGCATGTGCAAAATTGCAAGAACAAGGGCCTAGCTTGTGCAAAATAAAAAGAACAAGGGCATAGCGTGTGCAAAATAGCAAGAACAGGTGCCTAGCGTGTGCAAAATATAAAGAACAAGGGACTAGCATGTGCAAAATAAAGAGAACAAGGGCCTAGCGTGTGCAAAATTGCAAGAACAAGGGCCTAGCGTGTGCAAAATAAAAAGAACAAAGGCCTAGCGTGTGCAAAATAAAAATAACAAAGGGCTAGCATGTGCAAAATTGCAGGAACAAGGGCCTAGCATCTGCAAAATTGCAAGAACAAGGGCCTAGCGAGTGCAAATTAGCAAGAGCAAGGGCCTAGCGTGTGCAATAAATCAAGAACAAGGGCCTAGCGTTCGCGAAATAGCAAGAACAAGGGCCTAGCGTGTGCAAAATAAGAAGAACAAGGGTCTAGCATGTGCAAAACTGCAAGAACAAGGGCCTAGCGTGTTCAAAATAAAAAGAACAAGGGCATAGCGTGTGCAAAATAGCAAGAACAAGGGCCTAGCGTGTGCAAAATAAAAAGAACAAGGGTCTAGCATGTGCGAAATTGCAAGAATAAGGGCCTAGCGTGTGCAAAATAAAAAGAACAAGGGCATAGCGTGTGCTAAATTGCAAGAACAAGGGCCTAGCGTGTGCAAAATTGCAAGAACAAGGGCCTAGCGAGTGCAAAATAGCAAGAGCAAGAGCCTAGCGTGTGCAAAAAATCAAGGACAAGGGCCTAGCGTTCGCGAAATAGCAAGAGCAAGGGCCTAGCGTGTGCAAAATAAAAACAACAAGGGTCTAGCATGTGCAAAATTGCAAAAACAAGGGCCTAACGTGTGCAAAATTGCAAGAACAAGGGCGTAGCGAGTGCAAAATAGCAAGAGCAAGGGCCTAACGTGTGCAAAAAAATCAAGAACAAGGGCCTAGCGTTCGCGAAATAGCAAGAACAAGGGCCTAGCGTGTGCAAAATAAAAAGAACAAAGGGCTAGCGTGTGCAAAATTGCAAGAACAAGGGCCTAGCGTGTGCAAAATTGCAAGAACAAGGGCCTAGCGAGTGCAAAATAGCAAGAGCAAGGGCCTAGCTTGTGCAATAAATCAAGAACAAGGGCCTAGCGTTCGCGAAATAGCAAGAACAAGGGCCTAGCGTGTGCAAAATAAAAAGAAGAAGGGTCTAGCATGTGCAAAATTGCAAGAACAAGGGCCTAGCGTGTTCAAAATAAAAACAACAAGGGCATAGCGTGTGCAAAATAGCAAGAACAAGGGCCTAGCGTGTGCAAAATAAAAAGAACAAGGGTCTAGCATGTGCGAAATTGCAAGAATAAGGGCCTAGCGTGTGCAAAATAAAAAGAACAAGGGCATAGTGTGTGCTAAATTGCAATAACAAGGGCCTAGCGTGTGCAAAAATGCAAGAACAAGGGCCTAGCGAGTGCAAAATAGCAAGAGCAAGAGCCTAGCGTGTGCAAAAAATCAAGGACAAGGGCCTAGCATTCGCGAAATAGCAAGAGCAAGGGCCTAGCGTGTGCAAAATAAAAACAACAAGGGTCTAGCATGTGCAAAATTGCAAGAACAAGGGCCAAGCGTGTGCAAAATAAAAAGAACAAGGGCATAGAGTGTGCAAAATAGCAAGAACAAGGGCCTAGCGTGTGCAAAATAAAAAGAAACAAGGGCCTAGCGTGTGCAAAATAAAAAGAACAAGGGCCTAGCGTACGCAAAATTGCAAGAACAAGGGCCTAGCGTGTGCAAAATTGCAAGAACAAGGGCCTAGCGAGTGCAAAATAGCAAGAGCAAGGGCCTAGCGTGTGCAATAAATCAAGAACAAGGGCCTAGCGTACGCGAAATAGCAAGAACAAGGGCCTAGCGTGTGCAAAATAAAAAGAACAAGGGTCTAGCATGTGCAAAATTGAAAGAACAAGGGCCTAGCGTGTTCAAAATAAAAAGAACAAGGGCATAGCGTGTGCAAAATAGCAAGAACAAGGGCCTAGCGTGTGCAAAATAAAAAGAACAAGGGTCTAGCATGTGCGAAATTGCAAGAATAAGGGCCTAGCGTGTGCAAAATAAAAAGAACAAGGGCATAGCGTGTGCTAAATTGCAAGAACAAGGGCCTAGCGTGTGCAAAAATGCAAGAACATGGGCCTAGCGAGTGCAAAATAGCAAGAGCAAGAGCCTAGCGTGTGCAAAAAATCAAGGACAAGGGCCTAGCGTTCGCGAAATAGCAAGAGCAAGGGCCTAGCGTGTGCAAAATAAAAACAACAAGGGTCTAGCATGTGCAAAATTGCAAGAACAAGGGCCAAGCGTGTGCAAAATAAAAAGAACAAGGCAAGAGCGTGTGCAAAATAGCAAGAACAAGGGCCTAGCGTGTGCAAAATTGCAAGAACAAGGGCCTAGTATGTGCAAAATACAAGAACAAGGGCCTAGCGTGTGCAAAATAAAAAGAACAAGGGCCTAGCGTGTCCAAAATTGCAAGAACAAGGGCCTAGCTTGTGCAAAATTGCAAGAACAAGGGCCTAGCGAGAGCAAAATAGCTAGAGCAAGGGCCTAGCGTGTGCAAAAAATCAAGAACAAGGGCATAGGGTTCGCGAAATAGCAAGAACAAGGGCCTAGCGTGTGCAAAATAAAAGAACAAGGGCATGGCGTGTGCAAAATAGCAAGAACAAGGGCCTAGCGTGTGCAAAATAAAAAGAACAAGGGCCTAGCGTGTGCAAAATAAAAAGAACAAGGGCCTAGCGTTTGCAAAATTGCAAGAACAAGGGCCTAGCATGTGCAAAATTGCAAGAACAAGGGCTTAGCTGTCAGAACTTATAGCTTACTTGTTTCTGTAGGCTATAGTGGGGTATCCCATAGGGGGTACAACCCAATTAGGGTTTCCTATTTGTACTCACTTCGTTCATAGTCATTCCATTCTCGTTCTTTGTTTCCACATGGAATCAGAGCAGGTTCCCTCCTAGGGACTGCTTCTAGGGCCCACCGAACCGCGCCCCGAGGCGCGTTTTTTTTTAGCGACCCGTCGTGTCGCCCCTAGCGGACCGTTGCGCCGCCCTTCCCCTCGCGGCTCCGCCGCCCTTCCCTAGCGGCCCCGCCGCCCTTCGATCGCGGCCCCGCCGCCCTCTGCTACGCGGCCCCGCCGCCGCCCTTCGATCGCGGCCCCGCCGCCCTCGGCTACGCGGCCCCGCCGCCCTCTGCCTCGCGGCCCCGCCGCCCTCTGCTACGCGGCCCCGCCGCCCTCTGCTACGCGGCCCCGCCGCCCTCTGCTACGCGGCCCCGCCGCCCTTCGATCGCGGCCCCGCCGCCCTTTGCCACGCGGCCCCGCCGCCCTCTACTACGCGGCCCCGCCGCCCTCTGCTACGCGGCCCCGCCGCCCTTCGATCGCGGCCCCGCCGCCCTCTGCTACGCGGCCTCGCCGCCCTCTGCTACGCGGCCCCGCCGCCCCCTGCTACGCGGCCCCGCCGCTCTCTTCGGTCGCGGCCCCGCCGCCCTCTGCTACGCGGCCCCGCCGCCCTCTGCTACGCGGCCCCGCCGCTCTCTTCGGTCGCGGCCCCGCCGCCACTCTGCTACGCGGCCCCGCCGATCCGCCCAGCAGCAGCCGCCGCCGCCTGAGCCGCCGCCGAGCCGCCGCCGAGCCGTCGCCGAGCCGCCGCCGAGCCGCCGCCGAGCCGCCGCCGAGCCGCCGCCCGAGCCGCCGCCGAGCCGCCAGAGCCGCCGCCGAGCCGCCCGTGACGCCCGAGCCGCCCGCGCCGCCCAGCAGCAGCCGAGCCGCCGCCGAGCCGCCGCCGCCTGAGCCGCCGCCGAGCCGCCGCCGAGCCGCCGCCGAACCGCCGCCGAGCCGCCGCCCGAGCCGCCGCCGAGCCGCCCGCGCCGCCCGAGCCGCCTGCGGAGCCGTGCTGCTGTTCCTCTGCTGCTGACCTACCCGCCTCTCCCAGCCCGGTGAGATTTTCAGCTGCTGTCGTGGCCACCCCCAATGTTCTTACCTTTGACGCTGAGGGGAGGGCCATTGACTTTGCCGTCTGGATTGAAGACCTGCAGCTGTACTTACTGTGTGATGCGATAGATGAGGTCTCTCTCTTTGACTTTGTCTCTGGCGCTGTCCCTGCCCCACCTGCTGATGCTGACTCTGCCGTTCGCTCCAAGTGGGCGACCCGCGATGCTGCTGCACGTCTTGCTGTGCGTCGCCACCTCCCTTCCTCTGAGCGTGCCCACTTTAGTCAGTGCAAGACCGCTCAGGCCTTGTACGACGCTGTAGTTGCACGCTACTCCTCCCCTTCCTCCGCTACCCTTAGCCGCCTCATGCTACCGTTTCTCTTCCCTGACCTCGCTTCCTTTCCCACTGTCGCTGACCTCGTTACCCACCTCCGTGCTAGTGACACCCGCTACCGCGCTGCCCTTCCTGCTGAGTTCCGCGATGCGAACCCTCCTCCCATGTACATCACTCTCTACTTTCTCGTCACCCGTCTCCCTGAGTCCCTTCGTGTCGTTAGGGACCAGTTTCTCTCTGTCTGTCCCACCACTCTCACTGTCGACCTCCTTGAGGAGTCCCTGCTAGCGGCTGAGAAGAGTATTGTCGCTGTAGGGGCCTCTCGGGGTGACCCTCGCACCCCTATCTTTGAGGGGTGTGGTCCTTCCCCCCTGCTGCCCTCTGTCGCCTCTGCCGCTGCGGCCGACCTCACTGGTTTTGAGTCGGTCGGCGCGGCGTCTGCCCCCAGCGGCAGACGCCGCGCTGGCAAGGGCAAGGGGGGCAAGGGAGCGGGTGGAGCTAGAGGGGGCGGTGGAGGAGGCGGTGGGGGTGGCGGGGGGAGTGGGGGTGGCGGTGGGGGTGGTGGCGGGAGTGGAGGTACTGGTGGCGGCGGTGGAGGCGGAGGTGGCGGCGGAGGTGGTAGCGGAGGAGGCGGTGGGAGCGGTGGGAGCGACGGTCCTGGTGGGGGAGGTGGAGGTGGAGACGGGGGTGGCGGTGGAGGCGGGGGTGGCAGTGGAGGCGGGGGTCGGAGTGGCTCGTCCCAGCGGAGCAGCTCCGGGGGTGGTCAGCGCCAGCAGCAGCAGCAGCAGCAGCCGCAGCAGCAGCCACAGCAGCAGCAGCGCTCTCGCACCGTCCCCGCCCCTCAGCAGCTCCGTGAGTGGTACTCGCAGCGTCAGCGTGGTGGTGCGCTTGGTCCTTGCCCCTACGTTCTCCGCACCGGTGACCGTGCAGGGGAGAGGTGTGGAGGCGCCCACACTGCCCGCCGCTGCTTTGGCCGCCTGACTGACGCCTGGCGTCAGCAGTTTCCGGAGGCAGCTGAGATCCCCCGCTGGGGAGAGCTGTCTAGGGCTGGTGTAGCTATTTATGATCTTGATTTTGATGCTATTCTCTCTGCTATGTATGCTGCGATTGGTAGTGATGAGGATGACTGTTACCGGTGTTTCCCGCCCGACCCGGGCATTGGTACTGGTGAGGCTGCTGCTCTAGGTGCCAGTGCGTCTGTGCTCTCAGGTGCTGGTGAGTCTGCCCTCTCAGGTACTGTGTCGGCTTCGGCCTCTCACACCTTCACCCTTGACTCTGGAGCGTCTCGCTCCTTCTTTCGGGACCGCACCACTCTCACGCCGCTGAGTCGGCCGGTTGCGGTGTCCCTGGCTGACCCCTCTGGGGGGCCTGTCCTGTCTCGCTTCTCCACTGTCCTCCCGTGTCCGGCGGCCCCCTCTGGCACCCTGACTGGTCTCTACCTCCCCTCGTTCTCGACGAACTTGGTGAGTGGTGCTGACCTCCAGGATGCGGGTGTCCACCAGTTCACCCCTGCTCGTCAGCGGGTGACCCACTGCACGGAGGCGGATACAGGTCGCCACCTGGCTACGTTTACACGTCGGCCAGGGTCGAGCCTGTACACTCTGACCACTGCTTCTCCTCCAGGTGCTGAGTCTGGTAGGGTCACTTCGTCTGGTCAGGTGTTTGCTGCAGCGTCCAGGTCTGGTCCTGAGTCTGCCCCCTGCTCGTGCCGTCGTTTGTCTCACGAGACCCTCCTCTGGCACCACCGCCTTGGCCACCCCTCTCTGCTTCGGCTCAGAGGCATGGCCTCGCGAGTCCTTGTGTCTGGTCTTCCCCGGTCTCTCCCTCCCCTTCCTCCGGGCCCTGGCCCCACCTGTGTCCCCTGTGTCGAGGGGCGCCAGCGTGCTGCCCCTCACTCCTCCCAGTTTCCTCCGACAGAGGCCCCGTTGCAGACGCTTCACATGGATGTGTGGGGCCCAGCCCGCGTCCGTGGACAGGGTCAGGAGCGCTACTTCCTGCTGGTGGTTGACGACTACTCGCGTTACACCACAGTCTTCCCCTTGCGCAGCAAGGGTGAGGTCACTGCGGTGTTGATCGACTGGATCCGCGCAGCTCGTCTCCAGCTTCGGAGGAGCTTTGGCTCTGACTTCCCTGTTTTGCGTCTGCACTCGGACAGAGGCGGAGAGTTCTCCTCTGGCCTCCTGAGTGCCTACTGTCGTGCGCGAGGCATCCGTCAGACCTTCACGCTTCCGGACTCACCGCAGCAGAATGGGATTGCTGAGCGCCGCATTGGCATGGTCATGGACGTCGCTCGTACGTCCATGATGCATGCGGCTGCTCCCCATTTTCTGTGGCCGTTTGCGGTCAGGTATGCTGCGCACCAGATCAACCTCCACCCCAGGGTCTCTCGACCGGAGACCTCCCCAGCCCTGCTGTGGACGGGGAAGGTTGGCGATGCGTCGGCGTTCCGGGTCTGGGGATCTCGGGCGTTTGTTCGCGACCTGTCTGCGGACAAGCTATCCCCTCGTGCTTCTCCCTGCGTCTTCCTGGGGTTCCCCCCCGACGCCCCTGGGTGGCAGTTTTACCACCCCACCTCTCGACGTGTTCTGTCCTCCCAGGACGTCACGTTCGACGAGTCGGTACCCTACTACCGCCTCTTCCCCTACCGCACTCCGTCCCTCCCCCCACCCCCGCTCTTCTTGGTACCAGGTCCCCCCCCGGTAGTCCCCCTCCCCCCTCAGGGTCCTGCCCCTTCAGGTGTGTCCCAGGTAGACGCGGTCGAGCCTGTCGAGGTCACTGGTGACTCTGGTGCTGCTGCGGGAGCTGAGCCTGGGGGTGCGGAGTCTGGGGGTGCTGAGCCTGGAGGTGCCGAGTCTGGGGGTGCTGAGCCTGGGGGTGCTGAGCCTGGGGGTGCTGTGCCTGGGGGTGCTGAGTCTGGAGGTGCCGAGTCTGGGGGTGCTGTGCCTGGGGGTGCTGAGCCTGGGGGTGCTGAGCCTGGGGTTGCTGAGCCTGGGGGTGCTGAGCCTGGGGGTGACGTGCCTGGGGGTGCTGTGTCTAGGGGTGCTGAGCCTGGAGGTGCTGTGCCTGGGGGTGCTTCGTCTCGCCGGGAGCCACTCTCCCCACAGGAGCTGCGTGAGTGGTTTGCCGGGCGCTGGAGGCGTGCTGCTGGTGCTGGTGGTTCTTCGGCTGCAGAGGGTACTGCTGCTGCGCGCCCCGCCGGCGCTCGTACTGTGGGTGCTGGAGCTGCTGAGTCTGAGAGTTCTCCTGGAGCTGGTCCTGCTGAGGGTGTTGGTGCTGAGCCTGCCGTTGGCGGCCCGACTGACAGTGCTCCTGGTGCTGCGGCTGGAGGTTCTGGAGCTTCTGGTGGTGCTGCTGGAGGTGCTACTGGAGTGGGTGCTCCTGCCGGGGCTGCTGGTGCTGTTCCTGCTGTTTCTAGCGTCGCCGCGCGGCCCCGACCGTACTTCGTTCCGCTCCTGCAGCAGGTTCTTGGTCTTACACCTCCTCCTCCTCCCTTAGAGGGTCCGCAGCCTGTCCGGTCACAGCCACAGCTACAGCCTGCCTCCCCTTTGCCTGCTCCTTCTCCCTACGCTGGTCCGACTGGAGGTCTTACTGAGCGTCGTGAGCCTGCGTCTCGTCCTGTGTCGCCTGTTCGTACTGAGCGCGCTAGTGGTCGCGGGTCGCGTCAGCGTCCTCCTCCTGTCCCTGGCACGCACCGGATGTCACTGCGTCCGTCCACTGCTCCTCTGCGTGCCCCTTTGCCTTCTCCTCCTGCTTCCTCTCTTCCTGCTCTTGCCGACCCGGAGTCGGACGCCCTTCGTGCTGCCAGTCCTACTGTCACGCGTCTCCTGGCTACTGCTGTCACTGACCCCTCCTTCGAGTCGTCTGCTGCGTCTGCCCTTGTCACTGAGCTTGTCGACTTTGCTGCGCGCTGTCGTCTAGACTACGCTGCTCGTCTTGTCACTGAGTCTGAGTCCGCCTGTCCTCCGTCCGTCGGGGGTGAGTGTGCCCTTGGCACGGACGTCCTTGAGGACAGGCAGGAGGAGTTCCAGTGTCTGGCCGCCGCTTCACCTCGTCTCGCGTCTGTACTGCTAGCCCCTGAGGGAGACCCGGATGCACCAGACATCCCGACTCCGCGCTCTTACGCGGAGGCGATAGAGGGTCCCTACTCCTCTCAGTGGCAGGCAGCTATGGATGCAGAGATGGCTTCCTGGAAGTCCACAGGCACCTACGTTGACGCTGTTCCCCCTCCTGGGGCGAACATCGTCAGTGGCATGTGGATTTTCAGGGTGAAGCGGCCGCCGGGTTCTCCGCCTGTCTTCAAGGCGCGTTACGTGGCTCGTGGCTTCAGTCAGCGGCAGGGGGTTGACTACTTTCAGACCTTCTCCCCCACCCCGAAGATGACCACTCTTCGGGTTCTGCTACACGTTGCTGCTCACCGTGACTACGAGCTGCACTCTCTCGACTTCAGCACAGCTTTCTTGCAGGGCAGCCTGCACGAGGAGATCTGGCTGCGTCGCCCACCTGGCTTCACTGGGTCTTTCCCTCCTGGTACCCAGTGGAGTCTCCGGCGTCCAGTCTACGGTCTCCGCCAGGCGCCACGTGAGTGGCACGACACACTGAGGACTACGCTCGCGGCACTTGGGTTTGCTCCTTCCACTGCCGACCCGTCGCTGTTTCTGCGCACCGACACCTCTCTGCCGCCGTTCTACATCCTCGTGTACGTCGACGACTTGGTCTTTGCCACAGCTGACACTGCTGGACTCGCCTACGTGAAGTCCGAGCTGCAGAAGAGACACACGTGCACTGACCTGGGTGAACTGCGCAGCTACCTTGGCTTGCAGATCACCCGGGACAGAGCACGCCGCACCATTACCCTGACTCAGTCACACATGGTGCAGCAGGTCCTTCAGCGCTTCGGCTTCACGTACTCCTCGCCTCAGGCCACTCCTCTGCCTACTCGCCACTCGCTCTCAGCTCTGCCTTCGGATGAGTCCGTAGAGTCGAGTGGCCCGTTTGCAGAGCTTGTTGGCTGCCTCATGTACCTGATGACCTGCACACGACCTGACCTCGCATACCCTCTTAGCATTCTCGCACGCTTTGTTGCTCCTGGGAGACACCGACCAGAGCACATGGCTGCAGCGAAGAGGGTGTTGCGCTACTTGTGCAGTACGTCGGGCATGGGGCTAGTGCTTGGAGGGCGCAGTCCAGTGGTCCTCACTGGGCACGCAGACGCTTCTTGGGCTGACGACCAGGCTACGCAGCGGTCGTCACAGGGTTACACCTTCAGCCTTGGTTCCGGCTCTGTCTCGTGGCGGGCTACCCGCTCGTCTTCTGTTCTCGGCTCCAGTTGTGAGGCTGAGATCTACGCTGGGGCTATGGCTGCACAGGAGTTACGCTGGCTCACCTACCTGCTGACCGACCTTGGAGAGCAGCCTCGTTCTCCTCCAGTCCTGTACGTAGACAACAAGGCCATGCTGGCCTTGTGTCGAGAGCAGCGACTGGAGCACAGAACGAAGCACATTGCTCTTCGTTACTTTCTTGCTCGTGAGCTACAGCAGCGTGGACAGCTGCGACTTGCGTACGTAGCCTCTGAGGCCAACACTGCTGATGTCTTCACCAAGGCACTTGCGCCTTGTGATCATCAGCGTTGCTGCACGCAGTTGGGTCTTGTGCCTGTCTTGCCTCACTTGCTCTCCTCTTGACCTTGCTTGTACTTTCGCATATATATACTCTTGTTCTTGTATATCTCTATATATGATCTTGCATGTGAACTGGCCTTGTGGCCTTTGAACTTGTGCTCGGAATGCGTGGTGACTTTGTGATCCACCCTGAGCTTTGCTTTGCTTTGCTTGACTGGTCTTGTGACCCCTTGTTCTCCCCCACTTTGCCTATGGGGGTGTGTCAGAACTTATAGCTTACTTGTTTCTGTAGGCTATAGTGGGGTATCCCATAGGGGGTACAACCCAATTAGGGTTTCCTATTTGTACTCACTTCGTTCATAG